TTATTTTTTATACATTTTCTTTTCTTTGTTTTTCGTGTGTCATTATTCTGTCTCAGCGTCCTCGTGTCTTCCTTTAAGGAATATAAGGACAAGCTATATGAGGGGACAATAAGGAGATGCGTCAAACAATCGAAGAGTTTTCTTGGCCTACTTGAAGTCCTAGGTCCATTTTTTTTTCGTTAAATCGAAGAAATGATTTGAAGGAACAGATTTTTTACCACTGATATTAGACGACAATTAAAATAAAAACTCTACCGGAAAGGCAAAGGGTTAAAATGCGCATTTGTCATGTAGAATTATTCTGCTATGACATGATGATGATCTTTGTTCTCGTTCAACGAATAAAATAAAAAAATATATGCTGTAGGGCAGATGTATCAATTCATTCAATTCAATTCATGCTTTTGATGTAAAGATTATAGATTTCACAAACGAGCAAATAACAATTTTTCCCCTTGAATCATGGCCATAGAATAGGCCATTTTCGTAATGTAACCAAATGTAATGCATAAGTGTTTGTGATGAAGTACCTCAATACAAATTAATTCGTTCACCTGTTAGGAATAATAGTATTTCATTAGTCAGAATGCAACTGCATATATTAAGTGTTGCTAGGTAGGTCAAGCCATAATGTTTGTCCAACCTGGCAACAACTTATTTATGCAGTTCAAAGTCTGTCTATTGAAATACTATTATTCTTATCAGGTGAATAAAATAATTTGTATTGAGGCACTTCACAAAGACTTATGCAAGGGTGTCGATTTGTATCCGTGGTTGGGGGAATGATAGTTGCCAAAATATTTTCGGCAATGGATCAAAGCAACCAAGAGGTAGAAGCGTGTGGCAGGTTGCACCCCTCCCCAAGCGCGTAGCCAGGATTTAATTTTAGGGGGTGGTAGTAAGCAACCGAAGCGCGCTCCCTAGGGGGTTGGGTGCAGGGAGGGGGGGGGGGGGGGGAGAGTTCCCCCTCCTCCGCGAAGCGCGAAAGCTTTGACGTTTCATTAAATTATTAGAGAAAGAAGACGATTTGTTAGACCGTTCTCGACTCTTAATCCTTGTTTGAATCAAGTTCCCTTTCCTCCGCGCGTAGCGCGGAAGCTCTGACGATTCAATCGATTATTAAAGAAAGAATGCGATTCGATGTACCATTCTCGACTCATAATCCTTAATGTTTAAATCAAGTCCCCCTTCCTCCGCGCGTAGCGCGGAAGCTCTGACGTTACATTAGATTATTAAAGAAAGAAGACGATTCGATGTGCCATTCTCGACTCTTAATCCTTGTCTGAATGCAGTTTCCCCCTCTCGTGCGAAGCGCGGAAGCTTTGACGTTTCATTAAATTATTAGAGAAAGAAGACGATTCGTTGTATCGTGTCCTTGTCTGAGTGCAATTCGCCCCCGCCCTCCCGCGCAAAGCGCGGAAGCTTTGACGTTTCAATGAATTATTACTCTTAATCCTTTTCTGTATTCATTTTCGCCCGTCCAGCGCCAAGCGCGGAAGCTTTACCGTTTCATTAAATTATTAGAGAAGGAAGGCGATTTGTTGTATCGTGTCCTTGTCTGAATTCAGTTTTCCCCCTCCAGCGCGAAGCGCGGAAGCTTTGAAGTTTCATTTGATTATTACTCTTAATCTTCGTCCGAAATCATTTTCGCCCATCTGGCGCGTAGCGCGGAAGCTTTCACGTTTCATTAAATTATTAGAAAGAGAAGATGATACGTTGTGTCGTGTACTTTGACGTTTCATTTAATTATAACTCTTAATCCTAGTCTGAATTCAGTTGCCCCCCTCCCGCGCAAAGCGCGTTATCTTTGCCGTTTCACTAAATTATTTGAGAGAGAAGACGATTCGTTGTACTGTTCTCTATATTAATCGTTGTTTAAATTCAGTTTCCTCACATGATGTATATGTATGGAACGTTCGTTCGCAAATATTTGCGTGCACAGCCCAAGACAGTGGTGGGTAGCATCTCCCGGCAGTGCTTGTCGCAATAGCTTCTGGAAAGGAATTGTATACTACTGTTAGTGTTAACGGCCACTAATTTAGCCCATTAGTGACTATACAAAATATATGCTTTTCCTGGCTATTTGAGAATGTGTCAGTTTGCAACAGAAATGGAGAAACGCGAATTTTGTTGAAAATCATGTGATATCACGAACATTTATAAATCACTTGTATGAAATTGAGAATAATTCATGGTTGGATTTTATTGGGGGGTTGAACCAACCAGTACGCCAGTGACATAGGCCTACATCAGCGCCTACATCAGCTTTTCAATAAAAAAAATAATAAGTTGTGACATAATAATCTTTCTCCAAAAATGAAAAATGTTTTAGGAAATATCAGGAAATAAAATAAAAATAAAGATACAATGACGTGAATTTTAAAAAGGGTGAACGGAAACAACATAACAACTAGTGAACTATCTTATAATTCATACTAATGTCCGAAAATCTTTCTCCTTGTCTCCGATCTCATCACGAATTCGTCACAGAGTTCATCTATGTTTACACTGTCCAGGATGGTCTGATGTTGCAGATTGCTACTTTTGCGCTTCGCGCTTAACATTTAGCTCGTTGCTTTTTAACGCTGCGTCTTTGCATTTGGCGCACTGCATTTCTATGATGCTGTCGATTTAACAAATTGAATTAATTCATAAATTCCTGATGAAGCCGTATGATCGAGAATTCAATTTATTCTTGTCTCATATACGGATGTCTCATTTACTTCGTATATGTATGTATTATGAAAATGAGATAGCAAAATGTGTATATTGATGGTCATCTTGCGAGTAATAACCATTAACTACTCTCATCAGGCTCTCATTAATTTTTCTCTTTTTAATTTTTTTTTTAGGGTGAATTATTGGGGGGGGGGGGGATGATTGTACAGGCCATCCCCCCACCTGAAATATTGGGGGGGGGGGATATATCCCCCCCCCCCCCCGGGATCGACACCCATGGACTTATGCATTAAATTTGGTTACGTATACGAAAATGACCTATTACTCTATTAGAAAGATATGAATTTCGTCGCTCTGCATGCGCATATCGCATGAACATGGGCGTGGCCTGATCATGCAAAAGTTGGATATTGGCAGTCAGACCGCAGCGTGCGCGATAATGAGGCTATACGCTGATTTTTATTCAGCGTCTCTTTGGTTATCTCGTACATTCACGTGTGCTGAAATTCACGAGATTTTCTGTGAGATTTGTAAGGGTGTACATGCAGCTGCTTTTGTGGTCGATAACTTCTGTCAACATGGCAGCACGCAACGGTAATTACTCTCGAGATTCTCAGCTTCAGTTTGATATGAAACTTGCCATATTTCACAATTTTGAAACGATCCTTTTTCACCACTTTTATTGTCGTTATTTTTGTAACATTTCAACAGCTATTTTGTACCCGAAATTTCGCTTTTGGTTCCTGACTTTGGTACATAATTAATTTGTTTACTTTGAGATTCGTTGGAAAGATGAAAAGTCACTGATCAAAATAATGTCAAAACCTAATTGACGCAAAATCTTGTTCTCTTTATAATCATAGTAATTAAGACCCTAAAAACCCGGAAATTACCAATTTGTTCTTTCTATATGATGGCACGAAATTGTGTGATTTCATACTCGTGCACGCTCGCCGTTTGAGCAATGGCAATGCATAACTGATTAGTAAACTCCAGGGAGCTCCGCCGCGCCACCGACTGGCCGAAAAAATTAAGAAAAATGATTAAAAAAGAAATAATGTAGAAAAATATTATTTAAAAGGCAGGTGACGTAATTGATCCAGGGTCCTAAGGTTGTTGTCATGACTGCTTACGCGCACGTGCATTACAGGCGCACGCCACAAGGAATGCTTACTCAAATTTGGTATTCAGAATGTTAATAAACCAAAGCGGAACATATGTGACGTAGTTGACGTATTTGGCCAATCAGAACGCTCTATTTTCACATCGGCAAAGTTGACTACTTTTTTTAATTATTCATGAACATTCGCGTGATTTTTCTTGGTTCCTGACTTTGGTACAGCGTAAAATATAATAATTTTGATATCATTGTAAAGAAAAATATTTATGCTTTATGCTGATTATAACATCTTCTTGACGCAAGAATGATTTCTATGTGAAAATCAGCCCTACTCTTTAGATAGATTTATCGTCGAAAAACCCCATTTTCAAGGCGAAATATCTGTTTCCAAAATATATTAAACATGATTGTCATATAAGTATATAGAGAGTGCAACTTCTTATCTTTGAAATAAGACCCATTTCATGAGAAATGAACAATTATAAAGGCAAAAACTGCCGATCGGGAAGACCGTCTGCACTACTCATTACGTATGCAAGACACGTAAATTCTTGCATACGTGCTGAATAAAATAGAGGGTTTTCGCACCGGCTGCGGTCTGACTGTTGGCGCATGACTGGCCTAGCCTGCCCTGGGCACACGAACGCCGATCTATTCGAAGTAGGGTCCATCATTGTACCGATAGGGCAGGTTTTAGTCGGTTGGGTATGCAAACCGAATTTGCTTTCAGACAGAGCTAGCTAGACTAGAGCAGGGTTTAAAGTCTCACCTCCCTGACTAGAGCTAGAGATCATCTTGCAGTCACGTAACTTGTAATTACGTGCAACCATAGACGTGCAACTAGTAGCTGGCTCGTGTGTAGTCTAGTCGTCGATGTCTAGTCTTCGTCCAGTATACAGTAGGCGTCTATCCTGTTTAATTCGATTCGGCGTCTCGTAGTATTTTCGGAGTTCACATAAGTTTTTATTTGGGAGCCATGAGCCGGTGGTGATTCTGAAGTGGAACCGTCCAGCTTGACTGTTGAATGTTAACTTTCTGGATACCTTTTTGTATTAGGCCTACTTTTATTTGAAGCCAAATGATCGCAGGGTTCTCTTCGCTTCATCAACTGACTTATTCCTTGTAAACTTAGTAATCACGTGTGTGGAAGATGAGTAGTAACCACGATAAAAGTGATGAATGCATTGTTTCTCCGCCGCAGAAACAAGACCCGGGAGCCAACGGGGATGCAGTCAAGACCAAAGGGGAAGACCCGGAGCAGCTGAAAAGCAGAGGCACTTGGACTGGGAAACTGGATTTTGTGCTCGCTCTTATTGGTTTCTCTGTCGGATTAGGAAACGTCTGGAGATTTCCATATCTCTGCTATAAAAATGGAGGAGGTAAGTTTATTTCTTTAGTCTAATTCCTAATTATGCTGATAGTGATAGTAGTAGCAATATGACCCTATGTCTAGTGTTATCAACTGTCTTATCCCCTGGCCTCGCCTAAGTTCTATTTAACTTTAACTTTATACAAGTCTTTAGAAACAGTTCTCATTTTGGGCCTTGTTAATAGAATCGAGAGTCGAGTTAACTTAAACCTAAGCCCTATGGCCAAGGGCCAATTTTTTTATCTTGAAGAATTAAAAATTCATGGATGACATTTCTTTTCTGGATCACTTAGTCTACTATTGAATTTACATACATTTAGGCATATATGTTTCTATCATGACTGTAATCCCTAAAACCTTCCAATTGATTTTGTACATAAACATTTTAATTCACACACTTAAAGCCCCACTGTCCTACTTGTAGCTACTTGCTGCCTCTATATAGAAAACTTCCCCAATCGGTGCCTGTTGGTCCCCCATGATCCTCTTTTTCTTATGTTAGTTGAAAGCTGAGTTAATGAAATAGCCACCAGTCAGTGACCTCGCTGTGTGGTCTAATCCCTTCTGGCCCAGTAGTATTTTAAAGCTTTAATGCATCTGAGATCATGCACACTGCAACTCTAACATTTAACCTATAAACTTTATTTCCCCCTAACTCCAACCCCACTTCATGACCTCTAACACCATGTATAAACACTTTGTTCAATCCTCACCCAATAAGCCAAGTTTTTTTTAGTAACTAAAATTGTTGGTGACATTATGAATGCAGGTCTAACCATGAGTTATGACCTCGGTATACATGTCTGGGTTTAAAGGGTTTAAAAAAAAATCATCTTGTAAAAAAACTCCTCTTGGATTGTATTGCTGGGGGAATTTTGTGCAAGAGATCCATAAATGTCACATCATAGGTTACTGCTATAAAAATACTGCTGAACATTTGAAAGTGAAACTATAAAGATACATCACACATGAAATAAAATACAAATCCTGACTCCAATTTCATCTAGGCCTAACAGAAACAGAAGGGGGAAAATATTATTTATGATACCATGGCATTTGAATGTTTTATCTTCATGGAATGCTTACTTCTGGAAAACGAGTTAAGAGTAACCATTTATGATGTAGTTATAGAAATTTCCAAAAAGGCAATTGCAAAAGGAGAAAATACAACTTGCTAATTTAGATCACAGTCAGGATGAGGGAATGTACGAATGATCCATGCTCACCTCTTATCTGTGAATCAATATACTCTACTTATGGAGAAAAAAATCTCACAAAAGTTTTAAGAGTTTTAATATCAGACTCTACTGGCCCAACTATTGTGGGCAAAGGTATATTTATCTTCCTCTAGTTACCCAGCTGTAGGAAATGACTTGTCAAGTAAGGTGACAGATCGACAGAACTTTTGGAGTGGAAATAATTGTGACTTCCTGTGAATTCTCAACTACATGTATGTCAATCAGTCCATCTACTTCTTAAGTTGTTATTACCACAGTTGTAATTATCAACTTTTCCATTTATAAGCTGATACATTAGGAGGTTTAAACTTTGAGAGTACGATCATTTACTACAAACTTGTTGCAAATGCAATGTTATATGTTCGACTAATTAGATTTGACTTGTGTGCATCCTGTCAGCTGTATACTAGCTCAAGATATCTGGTTGCGTTCACTTTGATCATTTCATAACAGATTTTCATGAGTCCTTGTAGAATTATCAACATATAGGGATGAATTAGACAAATTTAAGTCAAAATCTTTTCAGTGTTAAAGGGCACTGCAAATCTGTTTTTGTATTTAACTTTACAATTGTTTTTTGGAAAATAATGCAAACTTTCAAGGGAATTAGATCTTTTCAGTGTTAGAGGGCATTGCAAATTTGTTTTTGTATTTAGCATTACAATTGTTTTTGGAACATAATGCAAACTTTCAGGGAAATTAGTGACAGCATGTAAAATAATATCAGAATAAGTAGTAATGTGTGTCTGATAATACAGTGAAAGCACTGACATTTATTTTTTTCATAATGCAAACTTTGTGTCAGAGGCATTCGAAATGGGAAATTAATTGATGTTACTTCCAAATATTAAAAAAAAAATGACATCAAATTTATTGGAAGATAATTTAAAGGTAGACTTTTAAAGTTTTGTATACCTGTAGGTTTGATGGAGAGGGAGGGGTTACTTCTATCAATCAAATTATCATTGTAGAATCAATCTGAAACAAATAGAAAGTCTTTGCTTATAAATACAGACACTGTGTAGTCATGAAACAGTTCTGAATGCAGAAAAGCAGAAAAGCCTTTTATCATACTCGACAATATTTGTTGAATGTCTTAACAAGAACACACAACTTTCAAAATTGTTTGTCTAGGGAGTTGGCAAAACTGCGTTTTATAACACACAGATGACAGTCAAGTCTGATTTGGTGGGACAGTTTCAACAGCTCTCTTTTTACTTAATCCTAAATATAAACTTGATTAGGTGTGAATAGGCAATAGAAGGAACAAAAAACTTGAATGGTGGCACTACATGTTGAATTTTAATTTGGCTCCAGTTGCTTTGATCATCCCCTTAGATTATTGGAGACAGCTAGCACAAAGAAAACACTAGGTTAATACTTAAAGACCCTATCCGAAGTGAGAAATGAAATAGATGAATTATCAACGAAAAGCTTATAAGCAATAGTATAGATATATCGACTGCTATGAGAGGCCTGGCTGTTTTTATAGGCTCAAGGGGATGTTGCATCCTGCCATGACCTCGTGTTGGAATATCACTTTCTTCCAGATTGTGAATTTAAACACTTTGGCCTATGCAAAGATCATCCTAAATGATTCAAATGATTTTATTTCTCATGCAAAACATAATATAATGAATAATTGTACTACAAAAATATGCAATGAAACAACAAATATAATAGAAAAAGCACGAGAAAAGAGGAACTAACAAGAAGCAGAGCTTGTTGAAGTGTTAGCTCCTCAAATGCTGTTTTACAATATAACATGAACAAATATGCTTAGATATGAGCTAGTAATACAAATAAATACAAAGAACTGAAAGAAAACGGTGACCCGACAAAATCCTAAAGGGCTTATAAGGAGGGGATCCCTAGAGCAAAAAAAAAAAAAAAAAAAAAAAAAAAAAAAAAAAAAATTATATATATATATATATATATATATAGTTTCATATTCATATGAATCCTGCTTAAACGACACAGAGAGTACAGGAGTGTGACACCACACCAAGCCATGCTGAAAGACCACTGATCCCAAACAGGTTGAATAGAGGCCTATTCAAAACCTATCAATCTGTAATTCAGCCATTGAAATCAATCTCAAGCTTATTTCTCATATTTCACCACGCTTACATCTGAATGCTTTGATAATGAAATTTTATTAACCTGTTTCTTCTTTCTTTCTTTTGTGTGTCTCTCTCTTTTTTGCAGGTGCTTTCCTGATCCCGTATTTTATTTGTCTGTTTATTGGAGGGATACCTCTCCTGATCCTTGAGATTGGTCTTGGTCAGTACACCAACCAAGGCGGTATAACAGCATGGAATATCAGTCCTATATTCAAAGGTGAGATTCACAAACATTTAGGTATCCCTCATGATTTTGTGTATCATTCATTATCCAACTGACCCATTCTACATCTATCTCAATGGAATACATGCGTCTGTTTAGAGCCAGAAGGTGCTACTGCTAGCTAGCTCTCTGTTTAAGTATATGAGTTGAAGCCCTTCTTGCTCCTAACAGACATAAGAATATTAATAAGTTTAAAAGTTATTTTTTCTTCCTTTTTTTCTTTTTCTCAATAACAGGCTTAGTCTGCCTTCTTCACCTTACTGTAAAAAAACAGGAACTTTGCAAATTTGCCATTTTTGCTGCAAGAAAGCTGCATTAAATGTTGTAAAGCTATCATTTTGCGGCATTTCATGAGGCTTTCCCAAATCCAGACTTCACAAAGATCGTGAAAGTTTCTGGTTTTTCAGTATAAACTGTTTATATAACTTTCTGCAGGGCTTCACACTAACTTTTTTTAATGGGGGCTCCGGATTGAGGGTTTTAAGATTTGTATACATGTACATTAGCCCCGTGTTAAAATGTAACAAATTTGAAGGTCCTGAGGTTAAATTTGGACCCATGTGTCCTGGGCACCTAATAGTGTTGAGCACTGCCTTCTGTAAATACAAGTCTTTCTACAACATAAATGAAATACAGTCAAACCTGCTTTAGTGTCTACAACAAACACTTTTTTTGTTTCCCTTTAAAATGGTTTCTCAATGAAACATATACTAAAGGAACCTGTCTACAAAAACCACCTGTCTACAAGACCACTTTTTGTGTTTCCCTTGGGCAGTCGCTATAGACAGGTTTGACTGTATAATGATCATCTGTCTTTAACCTACTTGATATATACATGTACTAGGCAATAGATATTGCCTTGCTTCATCTTATAATCTCTTTCATGATTTTAGGCATTGGTCTGGCCAGTGTGGTCATCCTTCTGTTCCTGAACACCTACTACATCATCATCATGGCCTGGTCGTTCTACTACATGTTCATGTCCTTCACTTCCGTACTACCCTGGTCCCACTGCGACAACGTATGGAACACGCCCTGCTGCTTCGTTCCCGAAGCCGTCAACCAGACCAGTGACGTGACGACCCAACTCATGACCACTGCCGACGGTGGGATGTTGCAGAATGTGACAGAGTGCGCCAATGAAACGCTCAGGACAACTGCCACTGTGGAGTTCTGGGAGTAAGTATCCAGTCATTTGCGTTTTAATTCATCGTACGGTATCTGTAGTCTGAAAAACACGCCCAAATCAGGAGGGATACCCGTGAATATGCGCAATGTGCAATAGATCAGGCCAGGCATACGCCACATGTCTTGGCCCCTCACTCTTGTAACATGTACAAAATATATATAACAAAGCTTTATGACAGTCTCCTGATATATTTGATGTAAATATTCACAATCAAACAACTGCATTTAAACTAACCAAGTTCTTAACATAACTGTGGGAGATAAAATAAATAATTTGTTTGCTAGAGAATATAATTTTCAGCATTTTTAAACATGTAATTAAAGTTCAAGTTCAAGTTCGTTTATTTACACTCATCATTAAAAATACAAGAACATATACAATTAAATACGGAATAATCACACATAAAATATCATACATTCAACAACAACAACAAATAAAAAAACATAACATAATGGGAGTGAAGGGATGAGCTAAAAAGGAGTATGGTCCTTATGCTAGAGCCCATCCCTCATAATATAAATAAAAGGCAAATTAAATGTTGTAAGATTGGAAGCATGAAAAAATGAGGGAAAACAGGGGGGGGGGGGGGTAAAGAGCCTGGTGAGTTATAGCACGTAAGATTCAATTAAATACATTTTATATTTTTGTTTAAAAGTTTGAAGACTTTTGCAATTTTTTATATTTATTGGAATGGAATTACAAATTTTTGGACCATCAAAAGATATTGACTATTTCATTAAAGTTGTTTTAATATAATGTGGTAAGTGGAAATTAGATGCATTTCTAGTTTCATAATCATGAAAAGTTGAATTCAAATTAAAATACTTTAGAAGTGCACATGGTAAAGATTCATTTCGATACAAGTACATAAAGACTGCAATATGATATTTACAGATATCAAATACATTGAGAAGCTTTAATTTATAAAATATAGGGCTCAAATGAGCTCTGTAGTGTGAATTTGAAATTACCCGGATGGCTTTCTTTTGAATTTTGAGTATCCTATTCAGATTGGTTTGGTTTGTCATGGCCCATACTTCAGAACAATAATATAAATGAGGAAAAATTAAAGTATTGTATAAAATTCTTAAAACACATTTTGGTAAAAATCTAAGTTTGTTTAGAATGCCAGTATTTTTTGAGATCTTGTTGCAGACAGCACCAGTGTGTTCATTCCATGTAAGTTTAGAATCAATTTCTATTCCGAGGAATTTGTGTACAGATCCACGTTGGAATTCATGATTATTCACCTGAAGATCAACCTCATTAACGTCTATTTTTTGTTGTTTTGTAAATACCATGTAGTTAGTTTTATTAACATTCAAAATTAATTTATTCAAAGAAAGCCAATAGCTTGTTTATTTCGTTACCAAAGTCATGTTGTAAACTTTGAATATTTTTATGAGACATAAACACACTGGTGTCGTCTGCAAATAAGATATATTTTAATTTGTCTGATATATTACACATGTCATTAATAGAAAGAATAAATAAAAGCGGGCCTTAAATAGAGCCTTGTGGCACTCCACATACAACTGTTTGTATAGACGAAATATTACCTTTAATTTTGACAAATTGTTTTCTGTTTGATAAATAACTCTTAAACCAATTTAATAACACACCACGTATTCGGTAATTGAATAATTTTGCAAGTATAATATTATGATCTAGAGTATCAAAGCCTTTACTGAGGTCTAAAAACAATCCCATCATGACTTCCGATTTATCAAAAACTTGAGAAACTTGGCATGTAAAATCAGCTAAAGTAGAGGATGTGGATGTGGAGTGGCCTGTTTGAAAACCAAATTGTGAATTATTCAAAATATTATGCAGATTCAAAAAGGAATATAAGCGATTATACCCAGCTCTTTCTAATATCTTAGACAATACTGGAAGTAGTGATATAGGTCTATAATTGGACATTTCAGTTTTAGTACCACTTTTAAATATAGGTATAAATTGAGCAATTTTCATCTGATCTGGTACGATCGCAGTTTCCAATGAAGAATCGAATATTGCACATAATGGATAACAGATCAAATGTATAACTCTTTTAACCATCTTAACATCAACACTGTCAAAAACACTACATTTATTACTCTTTAATTTATCTACAATGTTTATTATTTCTCTTGGAGTCATTGGAGTAATTGAATCTAAAATCCTGGCCAGGACCCCATTTTTCAGCCATTTCTATTATTATCCTGCGGTTCTGTCGTTAAGAACTGATATCATGAAGATACTGTAATAAAAGATATCACATTTTATCTCAAAGAGATTAAGCACACAATCAACAGAGTGCTGTAACATGCGCTCAGATTGTGTCTTGTTCCTGTACAACATTAACATGTTTGTTCTGGAAATAAAATGTTTACGGTGCAATTTTTATGCAGTAGCCTTGTTATGTTACTTGAATTAGATTAAGTTAACCCTTTGTAAACTGCATGTATAGTTACCTGTAGTACTTATTATCTTATACTCAAAGATGAATGTGAATCAGTGCCTGCTATGGAGCCAAGAGTTTTCACAGAAATGAGAGAGGACAATTTATGGAAAATTTCATATTTACAGATTATGGAATGATTCAACCCTTTTAATTGGAACAGGTTTTCCTAGTTCTCTGGTAGCCTACTGTTATCAGAAAGTTTTTTGTGCATATTCTAGAAACTAAGAAGAGCAGGGTAGGCATTATCTTTTACACAACAACAACAACAACCACAGCAATAATAATGATAAAAGAACTTCTGATTAGTGATAATGTGATATAGTATAATGTCCTTTAAAAAAAAAAATCATACACTGTAAATTGAAAAAGCGTGACGAAAATTTCTAAGAAGAGAATTGAAAAATCGAAAAATTTTACAAATGGTGCCAGGATTATAAAGCTGGTGGTCAAGATAATTTTTTAATTAAATTTTTCCTTAACTTTAGGCTTCTGAAAAAAATGAAGAAAAAAGTTTTGTGTATGATAATATTACACTAACAAAATAACGATAAATAAAGTGTCTACCCTACATTTCTGTGGAGATTATGGTCTCAAAAATAGGAATATAATGTACATTTGAAAAGTCATGCTTCTCTGACTTTGTACATTTAAAGGCCCACTGCACTACTGGTAGCTACTTGCGCCCTCTATATAACAAACAATGCCTAATCGGTGACCATTGGTCCCCCATGATCCTCTTGTTCTTATGTCAGCTGAGAGCTGAGTTGATGAGATAACCACCTGTCCAGTGATTTTGCAGAGCGGTCTAATCCCTCCTGTAAACTACGGCAGATGAGCTCTAAACAATTCATAAACTGCAGATTCAGCACTTCTCAGCTAGTTGAAGATAGTTAACTAATTAATGTCTGCAGAGTCAACACTAGCTTCTCAGCTAGTTAAAGATAGTTAACTAATTAATGTATTTGCCATGATAAATGTCTGCCCTGACCTTTGGTCAAGCTGCTTTTTTTCTCCCTTCAATCTCTATGGGAGCCATGAAGTCTACAGGATATGATATGAGCATCTGATTCGCTCATTCACATTCAAGGCCAAACAAACTTGATGAACTTTTATTGATAGCCTAATAGTTTTATTAACAGTTAATTGTCACAACAGTGCAATGGAGGGATTTGGTTGTTTTTGTTATAGACGAGTATTAATTAAAGGTAGCATAGAAGTTCCTAGGTCTACACATTAATTGAACATTTATTTATTTATTTACCTTTTTTTTGGGGGGGGGGATGGGGAGGGCATCTCTTTTACTAGTATCAAAGTTGAGAATTTTGATTAACGAAACGCATGATGCAATAGCTTTACTTGAACATTACATGAAATATTTTAAGTTATGGGATCATAGAAAACAAGGGTAAGGTACATGTGTACAGAAGTGCTTTCTAACTTTTGTACAGATACCTTTAATTTTTCTTTAAAACTTTTTCTTCAATTGTTGCCGCCAACATCATTAACATGAGCCATGTATGTATGAAGCTAAAAATAAACAATAAATCTATATCTGGTAGACTTTCATATTAAAATCTCAGTAACATGAATTGTCAATTGAAAGAATAACAAAGTACTACTGGTACTTGAACAGACATTAAAATTCAAAGCTTTTACATCATAGGAAAGAAATGATAAGTAGTACTGCTGTTAAAAATTTGATCGATCCCCTATCATGTAAACCCTGCTAATATTCTGTATACCCGGTACTAAAGAGTAGAAATTGATCAATACAATGATGCAATGCTCCCCCCATTAAAGTGTAAATGTCTCAGTTAAAATAGGTTTAAAGGTTCTGGGTCATAGAAACAACAGATACGATAGACCTGGGCGTTTTATTTTTTAAATAAAATAGTAATGTACATAATAACACTGCCTTTAATAGGCAATACTGTGTCCTGAAATAGATAGTAAACTGCATTGAACCTCGTATGATATGTGCATCGTGTACACAGAGTCATGAGGCTGCCAAATGGCTAGTGACCTTTGAGCATTGTATTTGCAAGTGATCATCAAACAAATTTGAAGAATAATCTTTGGTAGATTTCCATCCTAAATGTTTGACCTTTATTCTGTTTGACTGTTACATGAGTATAATTTCAAGAAGCAGTCCTTGACATGTATGATTTATTGTACCAATAGAAATATAACTATGTTTTTAATATTTTTATCACATTTTTATATCAAGTCGTTAATAAACATAAAAGTTGTCTTCTTTTTTTCTTCAGTTTTAACAATAATAAGACAAATGGCAAATGGCATTTCCTTAACATCAAGTTTACTAAACCCTGTCTCAGATTCAGTATTTATTTGTCAAATTTCAATTAAAGTGTCTATTTTGGTGTTTATTTCATCCTGAATCAGACAGAGTTTGATGATTTCTGACTAGGGTTTTGAATTTCAAAAGGAAATGAAGACAAGCTTTTCTATTTAAAAAGAAGCAGATCCCACTATTAAAACTGCATCATGGCTCTGAAAGAAAAGTGACAGTTCTAATACAAATTTCTTTCTTTCATCGTAGAGCCTTTGACAATTTTGCTTTCTTTTCAGAAGATTCTTTCCATAATTATATATTCAGGATTAATCTGATAGTCTGAATATAAATCATAATTGGAGATTTGACATACTTGGCAAAAGTAGGTTTTGATATTTGAAGTGAGAAGGAAAAAATAATTGATCTGTTCCTAACTGATCATTCATGTGAACTATTTTGGAAGTAGTGAAGGCTGATTGACTCTTCCTGTCTCATACTAACCGACTCCAAATCAACCGATTATCAAGAAGACATTGACCATGTTCCGGACAATGTTATTTTTTTAGTTGATCTATTTTCTGTCTGGTGTCAGTTGATCTTGTTCGTGTGACTTGAGCTATCATGAGTTTATGTCTCAGGCCATGGTCATTGTAAACATACTTGTATTGCACAGTAGAACTCAACACATTAGTCTAAACATTAGTCATAAGTGGTCAATAAAAAAAATAATTATGTTTTGGTTTGTTATGGTTTTTTTTTACGATAAATGAACTGGAAAGAGTGATAGTAACAAGTTTATGTGATTGGTATCAATTGCCATACAAACATAGTTTTGTTGATGGAAATGATTTATTACCCCCCAAAACACAAATTAGATTATATGGCTGGTTCACACTTGTTGCACTGTTATATATATGGCACTCTTCAAAGAATTCTATTGACATCCATCCACTTATCTTTCATTGCCAAAAGCTATCACTATGATGTCAGGTGGAAAACTTTGATAGTGGAAATTTTGTGGAATTGTTAGATTTCAAGTTCTCTTGCATTTTACCTTTTGTTTTTTCCTCATTTTACTATTTCAAAATTAACATGTGAAAAGCAGCGTGCATTCACGTGAATGGTAATTGTCTAATTTTTAGAAAGCACATGTCAGCCAATTTGGGCAAAGATATGATTAACAATTAGACTTTGAAAACCTTATCTCAGCTGATTTCTTTTAATGATTGATGATTTTTCAATGATTCATTTATCTATGAAGTGCCAACTACCGGATCCGTCTTGATATTCCATTCTGTGTGTACTGAATGCCCTTTCCTTTGTTAAGTTGATATCCAGTCTATACTTATCTGCAGTACATATTTTTTTTCATATCTTCATCCATGTACACAAAATGCCCTGTCAATTCTCTTGGTAAAATAATCTTTTTTAATTCTCAGAATTTGATTCCCCCCCTTTTTTTTGGGGGGGGGGGGGGTTAAATCCCAAGTGTATGCTCTTTAACAAATTTGAAAAAGATGCATACAGTACGTTGGTAGTCAATGAGGAAGAAGAAAAAGTTGAAAAGCTGAAAATAGTGACAAAAGTGGTACCAGCATGAGTATCCTCTGTCGGGTGAGAAATGTCTGTAATTTCTTGTATAAGCACTATATCAATTGCATTCCAGTGCAGGTCTAAAATTTATATGGATCTTGTGCACTATCTGATCTTTTTTAAAACCCAATTATTGTTTAAAAGAAAGGAAACTAATACATTTTTACATACATGTATTTGAAAAAGATGAAATTATCCTTTTAAAAAAATGGGGCTCTCCTCCCCCCCCCCCCCCCCCCTCCTTCACTGTGTTTTTATGAAAATCCTTGGGGTGTCATAGATTTTATTAGTGAACTAACACCTCAGGGAATAATTTTCCTCAAATTTTTTGATTAGCAATTTCAGCAGATGGATAAATATTTCAAATGAAATTCTGTACATTTCTATGGAAGAAAACTGCTACACAAAAGATATTTTGTATAGCAGTCATGCAAAAGTGCATAGCAAATTGCGATGCGATACCAGGAAAATTATTCCCTGCACCTCATATGAAAACTCATTTTCTCAAGCTAAAATTCTTTTAGGATTCCCCTCCCCTCCCCTCCCCTAGTGGTTCATCAAGGATCTTATTAAACTGAGCTAATGTACCATGTTTTTTTTTTCTTGACAGACGCAAGGTGCTTCAGATCCACTTATCCGATGGTGTCCATGATCTAGGTGGGATGAACTGGCAGCTCATGCTTTGTTTGATTCTCTCCTGGCTCCTCATCTACCTGTGCATCTGTAAAGGAGTCAAGAGTTCGGGAAAGGTAAATTTCACCATGTCTGTGGAATTGTTTTAATATCACTGAGTTGTGGATTTTTCTGTCAGTCATACTCATTTCCATTCATTTTCCTCTGCTCACATCTGTTAGAAACATTCATCCTTATATATTTGTTATTTATTTATTTATTTATTTGCTTTTCAATCACACTTTCTGCATGATTTCTTCTACATTTTTACAATGTACAGGTGCAATTGACTTCTTTATTCATTGATGTTGTTTTCATGTGCTCCTTTGTATACAAGGAGGTATATTTCCAACAAGCTCGGTCTACTACATTGCTTTTCAATAATGTATTGTTTATGTCCAGATGACAGAAAAATTATAGAGCAAGATGTCTTTGATGCTCTTTTTTATTTATTGTTTTCAAACTCATCTGTGCACTGCTTCAATTAATTGGAAAGTTCACTTTCCCAAATCATTCGGCACGTGTAAATTGAATGTGCACTGTAAAGGATTTTTTTAAAGAATATACATTTAGGGAATTTTCACCGAGAAAAATAGGTGGAACATGATTGCAACCTAAGGTAGTTTCAACAGCGTGTAAATTGAATGTGCACTGTAAAGGATTTTTTTAAAGAATATACATTTAGGGAATGTTCACCGAGAAAAATAGGTGGAACATGATTGCAACCTAAGGTAGTTTCAACAGCCTAGTGAATCACGCAGTTCACTTTGCTCTTTCACCTTGAAAGTGCAAACATTACCTGGATATAATCCAACCATGATTTTATTTTTAGGTATTGAATTACCATTGAATTTATGTCTTTGCATGCTTTTAAATAATGTACTCTTGCTTGGGTGAATTTGGATAAGCATTACAGATAAAGAGTTTTTAAAGTTTTTAAGATAATGAATAGCCCAGTCGGTTCCGGCCATAACGAGGATACATTTGGCTGATAGCATGGTTGAACAATCATTTTGGAAAAGTTCCAAAAAATGAGTTAATAGGTAGTTGGAGTCATGTAGGAATAAAAAGGTTTAGGATCATCATGATGCAAACCACAAGCCTTGAAATGTGTTGAAAATTATTATCTGTCTGAAAAGCCACAGATGTCATTGTTAAAGCGAACGGTCACATAAATTTACCCCAAAAATTCATGCAATGTTCAATGAGTGTGAAATTGAAAATTTGTGTGTGTGTGTGTGCAATTTGCAAGACGGTCTAATGTTGCGCGTAGAGCAAATTTGTATTTAAAAGGAAATCACAAAACATTTTTTTTTTAATTGGTAGACAAGTCGTGAAAAGGTTGTCTCGATGTCCCATACTTCACCAAGCATCAATTGTGGAGTTTTTGGACATGAGTTGACATCCAACTTTGTCCTTTCACTTCACAAATGGTCTGATTTAAGTTAAGGTCTAGCAAGGCTATTAGCTTTATAGCTCTAATGTCCTGTGGCAAGACATTAATTGACATTTGCCACACTCAACCCAGGTGATGTAAATGAATACCTGGCAGGAATTAATTCCTTGAAATGCTAGAGTGCCATAAAGGCAGCCATGCTTGAGCTGGGGTAATAACTGTGGAGCACCAGGAGTGTTATGTCTGACAGACATGAGCACTATACAAGAACCAACTATTATTATTATTGTTGTTATTGTTATCATCATCATTAATGTAATTATTAGTTCTGTCATTATTATTGTTGTTATCATAATTATTAAATTCATATGTACTGAATAATTAATAAATCATCTGTTCCAAGCTAGAAGGGTGTCAGGTGTGTGTTATAGCATGCTCTTTTGGCTCCAAACGGTTGTTATTAATTTAATAATATTATGTATGGTTTCTCCCACCGAACAATGAGTCTAATAAAGATTTTTTCGGATGAAGTAAATTTGAAGAAGTTTCACAAGTAGAGGTTTACAAGCTCAGTAATTAACTTGGTTTTACACTGTTATAAAACATGTTTGTATTAATGGTTGAAAAATGAGAGTCATGCCAAATCTGAAAACATACTCATATTGTAACACCATATAAGTCACTATGTATCGAAAATCATTAAAAAGTTTATGACTAAACTTTCAGAAAACTTCTACAAATAAAGGTATCTTTAAATTCTTCAAACTTAGAATTATATATCCCCTATACAAATTTCAGTACGCTTACACGCGAGCTCGTCAGCGTGCTCGCCAACGAGTTCGTTGACGAGCAAGCAGACGAACTCGCCAGCGAGTTCGTTTCGTTCCAAATATGCAAATTAGCTACGAACTCGTTGGCGTGCTCGTTGGCGAGCTCGTTGGCGTGCTCGAAATATACACGCTCGTCACTGGCCGATAAGCTCGTTGGCGAGTTCGTCAACGAGTTCGTCGGCGAGTTCGTCGACAATCTCGTGGAAAAAATGGCTGCACGCTTTATAATGGCGTGCTTAACAGCAGGTTGGCATTGAGAACAAATTTGTGTCTACATAATTATAGAGGTGAACTTGATGATCCTGTTGAGCTATTGGCAAGCATATATATATATTTATCTAACTTATCAGCCTTTCAATATCCTGGTAACATCTGCAGGCTGGCCATGCAAGGGCAATTCAGTTGGCTAGCTGGTGAAGAATACAGTGATACTCTTAGGGCAATTTAAAAGCTCATTACTTCTGGGATATCAATCAATTAAATCACTAATATATCAAAGAACAGAAAGAAAAGATTTAACATAAAATGTAACTTAAAACAAGTAGCTCTTTATTAGAGTCAATACAAACCCTGTATAATGCATGTTACCTGTATGCAGGGTTCACAACTTCACACAACAATATGAATGAATAAATGATTTCCAAATTATATAATTACACTGTATAATGAAATTAAATATGTGAGTAATTACACTGTATAATACTCTGCCTTTGAAGAAATATTATTATCCATTTTGGTAATTATTTATCCATCATTCTAATCACTCATAATATTACAAAGATCAAAAAAACTAATAAAGCGGTATTCATACAATAACTATGTAGCATCCCCCCTTTTTGTCAGTGTATTCACCAACCCAGGGTACCAAGTAATGATACATGTACATAGGATCTCTAGAACAATCCCTTCTTTATATCTGCTAGCAAACTAGTTTTCAGTATTCAGACCAAATGCATTCTTGTGCTCTCATGTTGCCTAAAAGGTAGGGTTTGTCATTCAAGATACAGAAATGTTTACATGAATATAACCTTATCACATAAATATCTAATGTTACTTTATTGAAGTGAATATACTATGTGCTAGATAGATAAACAAAATTCCCAATATATGAAAAGATATCTCACTAGAAAGAGAATGAATACATTATCTCATTAATCATTACTCTACACTTCTCTTTCATAAATGTATAAGAGAGGTAGGCCTAACTGTTGGCCTAGTCTTATTATAAATACACAATAGAACATCTAGTTAAAAGGTGTGAGAAATTAGTTTTTCTCTTACCTAAAACAAAGGAGCTGCAATACCATTCAAAACCCATGTCTGCTCTATGGTGGCCCTGAAGGGACATCGCGAATAGACTAAATCGTGAAAAATATGCGATAAAATTCACGATATCGTCAATTTTATCGCATATTTTTCACGAAGAAATTCACGAAATTGACGATATCGAGAACTTTATCGTGAACTTTTCACGATGAAATTGACGATATCGTGAATTTTATCGTGAAAAGTTCACGATATAAAGTTCACGATATCGTCAATTTTATCGTGTACTCTATCGTGTACTCTATATCGTGTACTCTCCTGACGGGCGCTTCGTAAACAAAACCAGCCCTAGCTGGGGGAGACAGAGAGAAGGAAAAAAGGGAAAGGGAAAGAGAAGATAAAAGGAAAGAAAGAATAATAAGAAGAAAAGAGGGAAACGGGGGGGGGGGGGGGCGAAGGGCTCTTGCCTTCTCCTCACTCCCCCCCCCCCCCCCCGCCAAAAAATAAATAAGGAGAGAGAGAAGGGAAAGGGAAAGGGAAAGAAAATATAAAAGGAAAGAAAGAAGAGGAAGAAGGAAAGAGGGAAACGGGGGAAGGGCGAAAGGCTCTTACCTCCCCCCCCCCCCCGCCAAAAAAATAAATAAGAGAGAGAGAGAGAGAGAGAGAGAAGGGAAAGGGAAAGAAAGAAGAGGAATAAGAGGGAAACAGGGGAAGGGCGAAGGGCTCTTGCCTCCTCCCCCCCCCCCCACCAAAAATAAATAAGAGAGAGAAGGGAAAGGGAAAGGGAAAGAGAAGATAAAAGGAAAGAAAGAAGAGGAAGAAGAAGAAGAAAAGAGGGAAACGGGGGCGAAGGGCTCTTACATCCCCCCGCCCAAAAAATAAATAAGAGAGAGAGAGAGAGAGAGAAGGGAAAGGGAAAGAGAATAAAAAAGGAAAGGAAGAAGAATAAGAAGAAAAGAGGGGCTCTAATTGCCTCCTCCCCCCTCCCGCGCCAACAAATAAATAGGAGAGAGAGAGAGAGAGATAGAGAGAAGGGAAAGGGAAAGGGAAAGAAAATATAAAAGGAAAGAAAGAAGAAGACGGAAAGAGGGAAACGGGGGAAGGGCGAAAGGCTCTTACCTCCCCCTCCCCCCTCCCGCCATAAAGGGAAAGAGAAGGGAGAGGGAAAGAAAATATAAAAGGAAAGAAAGAAGAGGAAAAAGAATAAGAAAAGAGGGAAACAGGGGCGAAGGGCTCTTGCCTCCTTTCTTTTCCTTTCTTTCCTATTCTCCCTCTTTTTCGTTTTTCTCTTTCTTTCTTCTCTTTCCCTTTCCTTCTCTCTCTCTCTCTTATTTATTTTTTGGCGGGGGCGGGGGGACGAGGCAAAAGCCCTTTGCCCCCGTTTTCCTCTTTTCTTCTTCTTCCTCAGTCTTCTTTTTTTCCCGTTTTATCTTCTCTTTCCCTTTCCCTTTCCCTTCTCTCTCTCTCTCTGATTTATTTTTTGGCGGGGGGGGGGGGGGGAGGGGGGGGGGCAAGAGTCCTTCGCCCTTCCCCCGTTTTCCTCTTTTCTTCTTCTTCCTCTTCTTTCTTTCCTTTTATCTTCTCT